TTTAATCTTTCATATTAAATAGGGGAACTTGTCGGCTTATAATAAAAAATGGTTTCGAAGACTTAACGGATGTCATACAATCTTTAGTTTATTTAATCGAGCATTACCAGTAAATGGTGTGGCTATAATTCGGGATGAATACATTACTTGCGGTATTAGACTCGTTTATTTAAACTACTGAGGATATGAGATCGGTCCGGCTTTGTATTTTTCAAAATCCAAAATATTATTTTTTTCCAAATTATATTTAAATTAAATTAAAAGTTGAGATATCCATTCTAGCAGCCGATAACTTTACAACTCCTCAACTTTTTAGTGCCGACAGGGGTGAAGGTTAACTTGCCAATTTTTTACGGTCATATAGACATACAAGTTAATTGAATGACTCCAAACCGTGGAACGAATCTTTATGTATAAAGATATTCCATAAAATATGAGAGTCAAATTGACAATCATCAAGCTCAAGATCAATATTAATGGTGGAAAATTTTGAAGCATCTTCAATAACGAGAAGAGAAAGAAAGATAACTATGTGCACTAAAATGAAGATGAAGCCGCAACACAAATACATTCTTCTACATAATTGACAACATATATTCTTAAAACTCCATTATATAATTCCTCATTTTATTAAAATATATTTTAGCAATATGAGATGCATCAACTATTTTATGATATGAAATAAAATATGTAATTTTTTCAATGATATACCACCATAAAAATATAATCACATTTTCTCAATTTTCATGGCAAATCAAATACAAATTCTATGCTAATGTCCTCCAATGGTTTATACTTTATATGAAACTTGGCAAAAATATTTATTCTGTGTTTTGCCTCCGAAATCTAAGAAATTAATAAGTCGTAAATTCTGAAATAATATGTATCACATCTGACGCGAGTGCTTATTGCGGGCGCAGTATTGTAGCTGCTACAGTACCGCAGGAGCCGGGCCGAAATAGTCTCATTTTCTTTTTTATGCTTTCTTTCCTATTATCATTCATTCCTTTTAGTCATTTCATATATATGTGTTGTATTAGGGTTTGGTAGTCATCTTTGGCTCAGATTTCTATCAGGACAGCTGTCGGCGTCAATTTCTCCCTTTGAGGGTTGTATTTGAGGGTTAGGTAGTGCTCCGGTTGTATCTCTCTCTAGAGGTGGTGTTTATCTTCCCTAACCTTTTCCACATCCTCCCCACGTCGCTCCTGAACCACGTGCATTATTGCAGCCGCACCTTTTGTTATTTTTCCAGCAATTTCTCCAATTCAATCACCTGTCCTGGTTGTCGTCACCTCAAACAGCCATCCTCTTGCTGTCCTGCAGTTCCCCGCATCCCCTATCGCTTCCGCCAACATTCCCTTTGTTACAGCTTGAAAACAGTCTTTTCCTGTTGTTTTATGTTGTTTTCCCACCATAATTTGATTATTTGTGGCATGTTTATTGCTATTTCAGATTTTGAGAAGTCGTGTTATTATATTATTTTTTTCAAGTGAGTTGATTGCAACAACTTAGTCGCTTCAAGTAATAATATTTGTTTTTCTATTACGGTGTGAGTTGACTCTTGTATCATTTGATATCAGAACTAGTCTAACCCTAGTCCTATCATAGGGATTATCGAACATCTGCCATAAATTAAAAAATTTATTTCCTACCACCAAAAACCCTTTCCACTTCCACAAATCTCAAACCCAAACCATGGCACCAAAGAGATACATGTCGGACCCTACACAAGATGAAATATAGTGTAAGATCTGCCAACTTTAACGGAGGCTTGCAAACATTGAGGATGATAACCAGTGGGAGATTACCCTTGATCATGATCTGGAGAGTTGAAAGGGAGAAATGAAGAATCTAAAAATGAAGCGGGAGATACAACACTAATTCCTACCAGCTTACTACAGACAAAATATTCAGATCCTAGCTTCAGAAGCAGAGAGACCACATTACCAAGCGATCACATCTTACAGCCAGAGTTTAAACTCATGATCGTACAATCAGAGTACACCCAGGAGAACACCCAAGACGATCTCATCAGAGGAAAAATTGATTCAGACTTGAGTAAAGGTGGAACCAATCCACATCCCTAAATCTATCACAACAAAAAAAATGTTGCAAGTGTCGTGGATTTGAGCATGTTGAACCAGACTGCACAACCAACTGTACGTCAGTGTACTAGGCAATCTTCAGTTCCGACAACTGCAATAGAGGTTATGCAACCCCAGATAAAAAAACTCATACCATTCAGATCTATAGACTCATTCCTGAGTTGACCCTACTGAGGGATGTCAGCACATCAAAAAATAGGGCTCATTTGTGCCATGACTGGAAGTTTACATAGAATTATTCAGATGTTAGATTCAGTTCAACATGGTACCCATAACCAGATGTACAGACAGGAGTGAACCCCATCCTTGAAATTTGTCTTAGGAGTTTGATGGGAAAGGGAATTCTTTAATGAGAACCAGGTCCTATCAGTGAAAAAGATGTCTCTCTTGAGTGGTTGCTAGTGAGAGTGGTACACCCTACCACAAATTTCATCTCAAAGTTAATTCCTCCTCACATACTTTTTTATCAGACACACTCAGACGAGTACAAAGAGTGGAATAAACTAATTACAGATTTAATGGCTTGATAGCTTGGTCCATGATGATACTCATCCACTTACAATTTTAGTTATGATTGTGCCAAAGCTGGATAGATACATATTTTATCAAGATGTGTTTTGGAAGGTCAACGCCAACATAATTGACTTACAGGGAGATTACAACATTTCCGCCCCCTTCAACGTTATCAACCTGACGCCATATGATGATGAGACAAAAGTTTCTACGAATGAGGTTAAAGCCCCCTCAACCCTAGGATATTGACGCGGTAGCTTACCGTGGATGCAGTATTGTAGCTGCTACAGTACCATGGATGCAGTATTGTAGCGGTTACAGTACAGTGAAACTATATATATCGCGGGAGGCTTAGAAATAATTACATTTTCTTTTCTTATGTTTTTTTTTTCGTACTATTTTTCATTCCCGTTTAGCTATATAACACCAACACTTCTAAAGATGTGTCGTACCCGTGTTAGACACGTATCAGACGCCGACACTTATCTAATACACCCGACACTTCCCACATGCTACAAAATATGTATGAATTTTTGTTAGGCACAAACATGTCCGAGACACCTCAACGCCACATGGGGTGTGAGCTTAACACTATTTCGAGAAAATGGGACATGAGAACTAGAAAATTATAAATATAAGTATAATCCTAATTATACCTCACATTCGAAACCATTATATTTCTCGTCGTGTTGAAGTTCTCTCTAACATTCATCTAAATCTAGCATCAAAGGTGCATCCAGTATTTGTCGAAGCCGAGCATTAGTAATCGCAGAAGTTTTAAAATTTTAGTAGATAAGTTTGATGAACTCTTTTAAAACATATTATATCTAATTTTAAAAACTAATTTTCATAAACATAAGATTTTATAATATAAATTAAATTCAAGAAGCTAAATTTTATTCTTGCATAATTTTTTGTTGTGAATTTTTTTAATAAAGAATATTGAAAATATATAATTTTTATATTAATAATTAATTAAATATAAAAAAATGTCGTGTTATTTTTTTTTTAATTATGTCTTGCGCCCGTATTATGTCATGTCGTGCCTGTATCCCTGTGTTCGTATCTGTATTTGTGTTTGTGTTTTATAGCTTTTTAGGCATTTCCTATATATGTGTTGTATTAAGGTTTTGCATTCAGTTTTGGCTAAAATTTCTATCACAGCAGTCGACGACAGCCGTTTCTCCCTTCAAGGGTTGTATCTGATGGTTTGGGTGATGATCTGGCTGTATCTCTCTCCTGAGGTGGTCTTTATCTTCAATGTCCCTTTCCCCATCCTCCCTACGTCGCTCCCGACCACCCTCCAATACTGCAGCCGCGCCCAAACAACAACTTGTTGTTTTCCCTGCAGT